GCAGCGGGCAGGTCAGGAGAGGTCTGCCACGCCATGTGGTCACCTCCGGGGCAGGCGGGAATTGAACTCATGTGGAAGCGGCTTTAGATTCTCAGTGCTGTGCTTTTACCTGCTGCGCCACCAGGGAGGGCCCGTCATCTACTTTTAAAGGCATTAAAGTAGGGGCAGACCCAATCTAGGTGTCAGAAAAACTGGCAGGTGGGTTTAACTTGGTAGGAATTTAATCAATGAACAGTTCAGGAATGAAGATGGGCATTGGTCAAGGCCTAAAGCTGTATTGGGGTAGAAGCTCATGTCTCTGGATTTTCCACTCTTTCTTGGGGACTAGTACAGCTTTCCAGATCCGTGTTTTCTTTCATGGACCCACACCTCTTTGCAATGTTGACCTTTTCCTACTGAGTCTCCAGCTCCAGTGCTCAGCTCTGTTTGCATCTTTCCTTCTAGGTAGAGGATAAGAAAATGGCACTTCCCACAGGGCTCACGGCTACAGAAAAACCTGATGTCCACGAAGAGGATGAGCTTCAAGCTGCTGAAGAGGTGTGTGACCCCTGTCAGTCCCCTGGGGGTTCTTTTTAAATTGTTCAAAGAGAAATTTCACTTCCATCTCCAGCTTTCCACAGTGGCAAGCTGCCTCTCATAGCTGCTGTTAGCTGGCCTGTCGCACCCTTCCGTCACTTCTCACAAGGCTCACTATAACACAAGAACAAAGTAAAACAGGCCTTGGAGTTGACCACAAGGACTTAGAGATACTGTGTAAGTCTTTTGTGGTCACAGGCCACTTATTGCTCCTTCTCCCTGTTCATCTTTCAGCAGCGTATTCAGTCACTGATGACCACGATGACTGCCATGGCAAGTGAGGAGGTGAGATGGAGTGATTGTGGGGAAGGCAGGGTGGCATTGGAAATGTGGTTTTGCCTGCTCAGCTCTGTGGGGCTTCCTCCCAGAAGGACCACCTTCTGAGAGCCCAGTCTTCTCAGCACTCAGTGTTCCCCATTCCTAGGGATCTATATTGTGGAAGCTTTTTATAGAAGCAGGGTACTGCCATCCACAGAAACCTCTGGGGGCAGGTGGGGGCAGACTTGAGGGGCCTCTGGAGCAGGATGTCCCTGCTGGGATGGTCCCACAGTCTCTGGAAGAGGCACAGTTCAATCTTGCCTCTCTGTAACCACAAGTCACATCCCATTGGAGGAGCCCTGGTTGTGTTTCCTCCCCACTCTTTAGGAAGAAAACAATACCAGGTTTATAGGTGCTCTTCCCAGAGTTCAAGGGCAGTCGGAATGGTCTAATCAAGTGCTGTGAAGGGATCATTCCTTTTTAGGACAGAAAAGGCCTTTGACAGTAAAGAGCTATTTTAGGAGCTCTGAGACTCCTCTTCCTCTTTCATTTGCACTCTTTTCCCTGAGTAGGTCCCCCAAGAGTTCCCTGCCAGCTCTGGTTACTGATCATCAGGAAGAGAAACCTTGGAATAGAATAGAAAGCATGAAGGATTTTTCCATGGTATCCTGGCTCTGAGAAGGTTCTAACTCTTTGATGAATACTTGGACAAAGGCCCGGTTATTTGTGCCCTGGACTATGACCCTTTGGCTATCCTGCGGGGTGTCCAGGTTTGAGCACACCCTCTCCCTGTGATTGCAGAGCCGTCTCACCGCCAGCTCCGTGGGCCAGATTGTGGGACTCTGCTCTGCCGAGATCAAGCAGATTGTGTCTGAGTACGCGGAGAAGGTACGTGGGGGCCGAGCTGGAGTCTTTGCTGCAGGTAATGCCCCAAGGGTTTGTTTTCTTTCTTTCTACACCCTCCTCTAGCAGTGATGGAGTCCATCAGCCATGTTTGTTAAAGACATATATGCCAAGCTTTGCCATGTACAGCCATCAACATTTGCCCATTAACTAAATTAATTTTGTTCTGCAGTTCTTATTATCTATAAATATAAAGAGAAAACCTGTCTCTCAGAACAATTACTGCATCTGATAAATTGATGCCTGAGGTGCAGTACAGGCATTTTTCTTCTCTGTCGGGCTTCTTATGACTTGGGCTCAGTTTGGTGTTTGGGCTGAGGAATGAAGCATTGCCACTTAGGAGATAAACCCCACAACTCAGCCAAGCCCAGGGCAAGATTTTTTGTTCTGCTTTATTTAAAGAGTATAGAATGAACAAAAGCCAGAAAGTCATACTTCAGCATTAGATTTTTTTTTTCTACACTAAGAATAGGCAGCAGAACCTTGACTATTTCAGGGCAACAGTGATTGATCATTTTGCACATTACTGACTCTGGCCTGGCTGAGATGTAGTATGGGTGAAATTAGATTTACAGGGCATTGGTTTGCATACTACCTGCCATATTCAGTCTGCCCTCCTAAAGCGCTGATAACTCCTGCAGCTTGGTTCTGCTTTCCTCACCGTAGAAGCCTCAGCCATGTTAGCCTGCTCCAGCCCTCCGTCAATATTCTGAGTACAACTCTGAATCTACATAGTGTAATTGCGGAAGGGATGTCATGTACCATGGGAATCAGAATCTGCTTATGAACACAGTAGGTGGTTGTCTCCCACCAAGAAATTGGCTTTCTCTGCGTGCCAGTGAGAAAGTGGCTTAGAGGGTCTGAGTGGCATTCTCTTGTTGCCCTCACCCCCCCCCCCCAGTCGATGCTTCTTAAGTTGGGTTTGCAAACCACTTTCATAGGCGCCAAGTAGCCTATGTTCCACGTACCTCCTCGAAAAGGTGACAGTGGTGAAAGTGAGATTGAACCAGATAAGGATTCATATTATCCTAAAAGTACAAATAAACCTAAGACTTGAAGATGTCATGTTGGTGCAGTGTTAATTCACTTCCCTAAAAACAAAATGTGTCTGTTTGCTGTCAGCACATGCATCTAGGTGGCAAGAGTAAGAGTCTATACCTGCCCTGGGTTGCCACATGGCATTGCTGTTTGGTTTTTGGAAGAAGGCAGACTCGCTGCTATTTCTACAAAGACTCTGATTTTTATTTTCATACTTGCCCAGTGCAGTCAGATAAGAGGGAGAGCAAGTGAGTAGAGCCCCTGTGGCTGGTAACACCCGCTCCTTCACAGCCCTCTCCTTGTCTAGCAGCCTGAAGCTTACCCATCATCCCCAGTCAGTCAGCACTGTAGTGTGTCCTGTTTCTGCTGGGTCTCATCCCCGGGCTCTCCCTTCTCACCACACACAACTCTGTGCCCATCTTCAGCAGCTGCCTTCTTGTATTCTTCATCTTGGACTTTTTCCTGTTTATAGTGTGTTCTGCCCAAAAGCGTCAAATTATTAAGAGAAGTACTATTGGACAGATATTTTTTCAAGGACATATGTAATGAAGCTTCTCAGGGAGAATTGAAGGTCAAGCATTCACTGATTGTGTTATGAGCATTAAATAGACCATATATTATTAATGGTGATGATTTTTTAAATTAAGTTGCCTTTAATCCTACTGCCATATTATGATTATTTCACATTTGTATTATCATCTCCCAATGTTTCTCTCTGAATACCCAAACCTGTACCTAGTTGCAATCAGCACCTGTGTATAAGAGGTAGAATCATGTAGGATGCAGCACAGCATTATAGAGTGTTATATAGATGTGTATCTGTCTCTTCTGCCCCCCCCCCCACCTTAATGTGACTCTGGCCCTTTGCCCTGGAGACTTTATCTACTGCATGGGAATGATGTTGCTTTCCTGGCCACGTATTGTGAAGTTTAAATGGAAAAGAAATCAAGCAGTGCCTAGCACATCGTGGCTCTTGAGCAATGGTAGCCTTCATTTATATTTTAGAGTTTGCAGGGCTTTTCCTGATCACATCACACCCCAACATTCTCCATGTTTCTAGCCTCCACAGTTATTTTAATGCTAGATAATCCATGTGTGTTAGAACAGCACAATTCATTAAACATTCTCCAAATTTAAGACTTTTGTGTTTGTTTGCCACTGTAGATGACATTATCACAAATCAGAATAGTTTTTATTGAAAGCTTCTGTAAGCATTGATCGTAAAGATGTGACTTAGACAAGTTGTAATAACAAAAAACACACTCATTGACAGTGGGCTTCCCAATGTTGCCCTAACATTTGCAGCTCTGACTGTTCCGTGTCTCCCTGGCAACTTTAGTAACTATAAAGTGGCACCACTTTGGACCATGAGGTCCCTTGTTTTTGCTCTTTCTGTTTTCTTATATATGACCTGTCAGTTATAGCCTTTCCTTATCTTTTGAATATATTTTTCTTATAAATTTGAAAAAAAGTCTCTTCTAGATATAAGTATTTTGTCACTGTAATGTAGTTTATTTTAGTTTTGGGTTACTTTTCATTATATGCAAGTAATTATCCCTAAATTGTCCAATCTTTTTCTTTGTTATTGTTTCCAGATGATAGTCATCATTTTTCACACATCTGATAAATAATCCATGACATTTCAGCATAGCTCTTATTACTGATTACTTAACCTATGTAGAATTCACTTTTATTTAATCTAAGTTATGGATCTGCCGTAATGTTCCTACTCCTGTCCCCAATATCATGTATCACATAATTTCTTTATACTCATTTGGCGAGGCTGTATTTTTGTGTTTTATATCACATTTAAGTGGTATACCAGCTCCTTGCTTTTGGGGTTTATACTTCTATTTTATGTGAGTTCCATGATAAAGTTATGTTTGATTTTTTTTTTGTTCTTTGCTTTATTTACTTGCTACTATTTTATCAATATCCTCCAGCCAAAAACTAAGTTGGAGAGTTGTTACTTGTAGGGGGGATCACACACTAGTGGGGTACCTGGGGGCATCTCAGTAAGGAGCTAGCAGAAAAAAAAAAAAGTTACAGTGCTGGAGTGTATTAGGTGATTTGGAGGAAGGTTCAAGAAAGTGAAGCTTTGGTCTCTGTTGGATTCTTTAAGGATGGTCAATTCAGTATATGGGCATCTAAATAAGTCCTTTCTGTAATAGGGGAATGAGTCACGGTTAAAATTGTGTTCACATTAGCCAGTATAGGGAATGTCTGGTAACGTGGGATTTGAACACCGTTCAGGTGTTTGTGCATGTTCAGACGTGATTAGAGCAACCATGTGTCTGCCTTGATCCTATGATTTTCTTGTATGTGAGATCTTTGAAATCGTTTATGTTTAACACCAACTGCAATATGGGAGCAGGCCAGCTTCCAGCAAAATAATGGTATTACTGAGAATGTCTGGTTAATGCTGAGATACTAGGTGCTGAATTCCTCTTTCTCTACCTGCTTTTGTATTTATTTAACTATTGCTACATAACAATATTGCCACAAATGTAGTTGCTTAAAACAATGCAGTTTTATTATCTCACAGTTTCTGTGCCTCAGCAGGATGGCCAAGCACAGCATGGTCCTTTGTTTGACTCTACAAAGTTGCAGTGAAGATATTGCAGTCCCATTTGGGATTCTAGTGGGGAAGGATCCACTTCTAAGCTCATGTGGTTGTCAGTGGTGTTCAGTTCCTTCATGCTGCGGGCCGAGTTCAGCACTTGCTGCTTGCTGTCCGCTTGATGTGGGTCTCCTCAAATTGCTGCTTGTGTCATCAGAGCCACGGGGGAGAACCTCTCCTCACAAGACAGAGACTCAATTTCTTGCAACATAATTGCATACCTGGGTCACACACATCCATCTTTTTTGCTGCTTTCTCTTGGTTAGAAGGAAGACACGGGTTTTACCCCCATTCTAGGGGAGAGATTTCACAGCCACCTGACCACTAGCAGGTGGAAATTGGGGGCCTTGCAGGGTTGGTCCACCGTAATGTGCTTCTCTCTTTAACCCTGTTACCATAAACTGGGCCAAAATCAAGTGCAGGCAGTTCGTCTGAAGTCCATGTGCTGTCTTTAGGGTGTTAGTAATCAAACCCTTTAAAGCAAATATAGGATTGAGGAATGCCCAGGAGGGAAGCCATCAGTGGTACTTGAAAGAAACCCAATTAGGCTGTGATGAGGACAGGTTTTTGCTTAGGGGAGAAAAAGGAATAAGAAACGTTTTGGAAGTTGAAAATAATTTTATGACCAAGGAATGAATAAAATAGTCTGCTTGGTGCCAGTTGTGAAGATCAATAGGTATTGGAATATACAGTGAAAAGTAAAAAGCATGACAGACTTTTTTTTCATTTGTAAAGTTCACAGATTTCTTTTTTAACAGTGTAACATGATAAATAATCCATGTGTAAATCTCTGAGATATGCAACTCAATTTAATATGGTTCCTGTAAAGCAGCAGGGAAGAGGATTGGGAAGAAGGTTTCAGGTAAATAATTCATGAATGTCAGTCAGCCAAGGAGCACCATCTCCCTGCATTTCCAAGGGTGATACCCTCCCCACAATGTGCTAGGTGAGGCACCTCTGATTTTTGGTGTTGATCTCTTAATATGCACTCTTCATCTTTTTACAGAGCAGAGGAGTCTGTTACTGTGGTTTGCAGTAAAGTCAGCTTAAAAAGACTGACAAAAGCTACTTCTTGTCTATTCTGCTTCACTAACTTAGGCCGGAAGAAAGGAAAGGAGGCCTGGACCAGGGAAGGTACAGGGTCCCTAGAAGGACAGAAATGGACTCTCCCTAAGGCTGCCTGGTAACCAACCATGTACTATTTTGACACTTTAATATTCATTTTCCGACTAAGTCATTCCTCAGTCAATATCTCCTTGACATGGGTCTTAAAATATTTTGTAGATCTGGGGGCACAAGCCTGTTTTGGAGAATCAAAAGCATTTCC